AATCCTGGTTACGGCCCTGCTAATTAGTGAATAAAATGTTTTTTTATACAAATTTTGTTATAAAAAAAAATAGGTTGGTGGCAGTGCTTGTTAAGTGTTGAATTTGAAATCGAACTTTTGGGGCTACTGGGGCCGATATTTACCTGTAAACGGTTGCAAATCTGTCCCCTGAGTGCCGATACACCTTCCAACTTGTTGTAAGCCAAATTTAAGTATTTTAAATTGACAAGACAGCTCAAAGCTTCAAAATTGGTAATCTCATTATGGCTCAGATCAAGTGTGTGAAGCCATGGGGCACACTCAAGGCTTAAATCCAACTCTGCAATGTTATTACTGATAAAACTGGCTTCTTTTAGTTCATTCCAACAAGAAGCCCGACTCTTATCGCCCCCACAGTTTATTAAAATATCACTTAAACTATTTTGGGTTTTCTGGCAGATTAGTTTTTGTAATTGTGAACGTAACAGTTGAAGTCCTATTACTGTATTAACGTCTACTTTGGACAATTCTAAAGAGATGAGTTTTCGGAATTTTGTGATGTTGATTTCAGGGGTGTCATCATAGCTGTCAATGTACAGTTTCAAGGTTTTGGTTTCTTGAATATAGTTGGAAAGGTATTGCAAGTCTCGTAGGAGTTCAGCCTTGAAATTCTGGGGTTGCTTGACATGGAAAGTGGTTGACTGCTCCTCAAGTAGTTCAAACGATGACAATATGGTATCTAACGTTCTTGTCGACAATGTGAGGATGTTGGACTTGTTATGGACTGAGCCATGGATTTGTGCTGCGAGAATACATATCTGGTTGCCCTCCATATTGCCTAAAATTTCCATTTCTTAAATAAACTTACAATAGTAAAGACTTAACTCACATGTTTGTGTTCAGATGTGAAACAAATCCCAAAGAGCACGAAAATTGATACTTTTAGCGTTTTTTATCACCGCAATGTGGAAATCTTCCACCTTCGGGGGCATTTCTTATCAAATTAATTATAACCTTATTTGTTTTGACACTTGGCACCTGTCAAAAAATTTCTTGTCAAAAACCAAAAATTTTTGCGTAATTTTTTTTTCAATAACACAAAATTTCTTTCAGTTGTTAATAAAATATATTGCGCGTGGTACATTTTTGTTACTGTTATGTTACTATAACGCATAATTGTTAACTAATAAAATTTATATGACGTTAAGTAGTGTTTAGCTGGTCCGCTGTAATTTTCGGCCTTGTCTTTACGCTTTTTGACAAATCTCTTATCGTGTTTGTTATTTTATTTATTTATATTCTATTTATTCGAAATAAGTTAGAATTTTGCTAATATTGTTATTTTCGGTTAAAGTTGAATTTTTTATTTTTGTTGGCGTAGACGTTATAAAAATTAAAAGCCTCAGTTGGTAGTGGTGACGCCTGTCAGAAGAAGTGAAATGTTTATTTTTCAATTTTAATGAAAAATGATAAAATGCCGTCACACAAGCCAATAAAGACGTATGAGAAACGGACACGAAGCCAACATTCCGAGTCCGCGAAGGCTTTTAACGCCCTCCTTGCCGAAAATTTGACAAAAAGGCTAAAATGTCGAAAGAAGAAAGCCACCTTAAAACTGAAGGAATTGCCCCCACGGATGCAGGAATATCTCACTGATGAATCGTTAAAAGTTTCTCCTAATAACACTTTTGACAAACTCGTGAAGGGAAAAGTTTACAACGAAGTTAAAGTTGCAAACTTTGTCAAAATCCAATCATCAGAAAGTGAAGCTTCCACTCACGTAAGCGTGTGTATTCACTCACCAGTAATGATTACACGACAACGTAAACGCCCCAAAGTTGTCATAACAGAGGCCCCGGAGCCCCCTAAGAGAAACTCGACTTTGGACAAACCAGTCACTAGTAGTTTATCCATTGAGAAGGAAAATCAAAGCAAAATGGACTTTTCATCTTTAAGTTACATCAAATTACCGCAAATTAGGGAAAATGAGGTGTCTAATTGTAATCGCCGGCTTTTTTCAGACACATTTCGTGAAAAACAAACCGTGCATTCAAGCACTCCATGTGTCACAGCTTCAGTGCGGAAAATCATCGCTGACCCCATTTCACCCATCACAAAATCAGACTCGTCCAAATTGTGGAAGAAATCCATCGAGGAGATCAGTAAATGGGATGAAGAGTTTCCAAAATTGGACACCCCAAAAGGGGCTGTTTTGCGCAACAAACGAAAATCTGCAAGTTTTTGCCAAGATTGGAAACTCACCTGCCAGCCGAAGGTCTATTTAAAAGCATCAGATATTTTAACGAGGTCTAAAAGCAAGAGGAATTGCAATGATAGTTTTGATTTCAAAGGATTCACTGAGGAAGAACAGTCGAGTTCGAGCCAGGAGTGGAATATTACTAAAAGTAGGATAAAGGATTTAGACCAGGATTTAGTTAATTGGACTCAAAGTCAATCAAAAATTTCCGAAACCCCTCCTAGGAGGACCACCAGGAGTGTAACAAAAAAATCATTGGGAAAAAGGCCGACAAGGACAGTCCAAAGTACAGCCAAAACCCCCAAAAGATTATCAAGGATTTCGGCCAGGATTGCGCAAAGAAAGTCTAAAGTGGATTCCTCTCCTCAGTTGAGGAGAACATCAAAAAGGCCAAGCACTCCTCTAAAAAGGCTCTCGAAAAAGTCGGAACCTTCAACACCTCGCTGGATGACACTGAGGTCCAAACGTAAAGTTTTATCACTAAAAACATCCCCGAAAAAAACACCTCAATTGACCAAGGTTTCAAAACGAAAAAGTAAAGATTTGTCCAAAAGTAACAATTCTGTATCTACAAGAACTCGCAGCAAACAATTTGGGGAAACAGTTAATGAAAAAGAAGTGTCTTGCAATAGTACATCGTTTGATTTCTCATCACCTAGTAAAATAAATGATGATCTCGAAGAAGAAAAAGAAGTAGAGTTACCAAAGAAACGCAGTTTAACAGTCAATTTAAAAGATTTTGATGATTTCACCCAACATTATTTCTCTAGGATTCAAGTACCTGAAGTTAGTGCTATAACATTAAGAGACGACAGTGTTCTCTCAGACACAAAAGGAATAAAAATTGAACGTAAGTCAGACGTTCCAAAATCAGTGTTAAGAAATGGAAGTGTAACTTCACGAAAATCGACTCCTAATCCTTCAAAGATCATAATTCTGAGCAGTGTTACTCTGCCTCCTCGAGGCAAATCCATTTCCCCGGAAATGCTGAAAACATGTCAAGACGTATGGCATGACCACTCCTATTCGAATTCACCGAAACAAGTAAGATCGTCACGATTGTCAGATATAATCGAATCATCGATTGGTAATTCGAATAATCCGTCACCGAAAGTTTCTGTAGGTGTAACGTTTCGAAAACCAAAATCGATTAAATTAAATGCTGGAAAGTCGTATAGGAGATCCCTATCGCTGCTTAGAAGAAGTTCAGTGATTGTGAACGAGCGTATTTCGGAGGTTTGTCAGCCTGGTTAGTTATGCAAGCAGTTATGCATGTGAGTAGTTGGCATTGTTTTTGCAGATTGTGGCTGTTTCAAATGTCTGTTTCGGACTAAAATTGAACCGAGTACGCCTGGAAGATGTTCTGTGATTGTACCTGCGGCGAGGAAATCGTTTGGTGATTCCATTTTGGAGAATTACGCCAGGAGGAGGAGTTTGGGTAGGTTTATTGATCTAATTGGTCGTTTTTCAAAATTTTGTACAGGAATCTGTAAATTTATATCTGCGGACATATTGAAATCGATTTGAATCTTGTGTAGTTTTATAAAAAATAATTGCTGATTTGGATCCGACCTTAAATATGTATACATATTTATGTATTTTACGAATGGGGTATTGGAAGGAAATGACATTGCTTGTGGTAATATTTCAAGTACAAACATCATAAAAAGAGTTAATCAGTTAAATACATTAAATGTTAATGAGAAATATATCACACGAATTGCTGAAATAGATTTACATACATATACATACATTTACATAAAAACTATGGAACCAATCGTTTTTTGCTTAAATTATTTATTTTTTGAAAAAATTAATTGAATGACAAAGTGCTATAAAGAAAGTATTAAAATGGCAACCTACTAGAAAACCTTTTTTACAAAGGCTTTGTATTTGTGGGAAAAAGTGTAAATATGTATAAAGTCTTAGTTTGTTCTGTTACAAAAAACAAAAATACATTTTGCTTGTCTTTAAATTTATTGATAGAGTTGTAACAGATTTTTGAATACCTATACAACATGAATTTTTCATTTCAAAAAAGTGTAGTTGTAATACAGTGTATACAGTGTCCGGAAATTCGCGCACCTTCTTTAAAAGGAGTAATTGTGAGTTTCCCAGAGTGCTGAAAAAATGTTTAAAAAATTCTCTGTCAAAAAAATTTTACTTTTATTTTTTGACATTTGACATTTTTTTAAGTCCACTTAATGATACTAATGATCTTGTATATGTTTTTTTATAATTATTTACTGAAGGTTCAAAAATTTTGCCAATAAAATATTTGCCACAAACAACACTAAACAGAGTTACAATTTAGGATAGAGCTTCCTTATTTCCTCTAGTCTTTAATTTAACAAACAGGGCTGAACCCCAAAAAATGAAAATTTAAATCGAGAATTTTTTGTGTTTTCAAAAAATATCTATAGTTTCTGAAACTTAAATCAACGTCAAAAAAAGCGAAAATGTAATTTTGCAATTTTTTACAAAATGTAAACTTGGACATTTGATATTTAGATTGATAAAAGAATATTATACCAACAAGTCGGTTTGACATTTTTAAAACTTAATGGTATGATTGACAGTTAGATTGTAAATTTTTTTAAGTGGCAATGTCTGTTTGCATCAGATTTACATGTTTATTTTTATTTACTTTTGTTTTAATAAAAAAGAGGATAATTATTATCTCAACAAGTAAAAAAACATTGGGTTATTGTCCGACATACTTTGATTTAGATTTAAACGACGAAGAAAATAACTTCTGTAACTGTAATTCTTTTGTTGTTTAATTCTTTTATCATTTCTACAGTATGTCCCCGAATTGAGTTTACAAAACGAAAAAAAATTCTCTTTGATTTTACGTCAAAACTGCAAAGGAAAAACATTGTTTGCTTTATCTGAAACCAGCAAATCTGTAATTAAAACTTCATTATACTAACTCAGAAGAAAGAAAAATTCATTTTTCTCTTGATTTTGGACCTAGAATAATTTTTCTCTGCTCTTTAAATACTATCACATTGGCGATTATATTTATTTGACAACTATATGTCACTTTGACAATTAATTTATTAATTAAATAATGATAGTTCTTGACTGAATTTGTATGACTTTGTATTTTATTATTTTAAACCCTTTTTTTAGAATTGCCATTTAATAAAATTATGTTTTTCACAAACGTTTTTGTTATTTAACTTGCGTAAACTCATTTGTCCAAGTGACATCATTGTCAAAAAAAATTAAACCGCCAATGTGATGTGATTTAAAAATCAAGAGAAAAATAAACTTTTCTTTTTTCTGAATTAGAATAATGAAGTTTTAATTACAGATTTGCTCTTTTTAGGTAAAGCAAAAAATGTTTTTCCTTTGCAATTTTGGCGTATAATCAATCCGGGGACATACTATATAGGACATTTGTTTTTGTTGTTATTTGTAGAGGGTTAATTTAAAAATTGTAATAATCAATACTGTTTATACAGGACGATCAAAAAGTCTTTCTATGATGCAAGCGTAGAAATTTAGAACGTTTCTGCGAAAGATGAAATGTCATGTCAAAATAATTTTGTATCTAAATTATGCCATGAAACCGTGGTTAAGGATTTGTATGAATTAACACCAACAACATCGCATTTTATGATGTTTTGAGACGTTTTATGGAATTACAGTACAACTTCGACAATTCGGACACACTCTAGATCGGACACTCCAATAGTCCGGAGGCTGTCATGTTTCGGACACTTTAGATTTTTTACCTCTACAGTTCGGATAAAATTTGCAGCATTCGTTTTCTAGACATTTACTACTTCTTATTTTGTTATTCGGAGAATCTCTTGTTACAGGATGTCGTCTTATGATTAATTCTCCAAGAATTCTCTCGGACAGTTTTTTTGAAATTTAAATGCAACTACCCAAAAAAAAATCAATGATTTTTTTAAGAGAACTTAAAATACACATATACAGGGACATTTTTTTTAATTAGTATACATAGCCCTATGTATACAGTTAAAAAAACCGGGTCAATTTTATAGGTAGGCGACCAACATTTCAAGCTTTAAAAATATTTTTGTATCAAGTTTGCCAAGTGTCAGTATTGCTTTAATTATTAAATTTTTTATGTTTAGATGGGTTTTAATTTTTTTTAATTAATATTTAATTGTTATTTTTAAAAGTTTATCTTTTATTTATCGATATTAAAGCCTTTGTAATATTAGTTGTCTATGACTAGACTTACGGTTAATCGTAACTGCCATAGTAAAATTGAAGTTGAGCCGTTTTTTTTTAAGTATACATGGGCTATGTATATTAATAAAAAATGTCCCTGTATATGCACCTACATCATGTTATTTTCTGAATAAATTTGTTTCATAATAAAAATATTAGATTTTTCGTTATAAATTAGCCTAAAAAAAACTTTTCAATCCGGACGGCCGGTGGCCGATATCTGTCCGGACTGTAGAAGTTGTACTGTATTTGCTTAGATCAATATTTTAATTTTTATAAAATAATTTTTAACATACGAACTGCTATGCAACATACGTCCCAACTAGTACGCCTATTTGATAGACTTTTTGATCGCACTGTACAGGGTGCTGCATTTTGTATGTCCGAATAGGGAATCTCCGAAACTAAGAGGTTTAGCCAAAAACGAGTAATACATTCTGGGGCTCATTTTTTGAGAAAATAATATTGGTAAAAACCGCATCTTGCTATCGTCTTTTGTTTTCGACTTACAGACAAAAGTTGACATTTTGGCGAAATCTAAAAAAATTCATATCTTCGTTATTATAGAAGATACGGATTTGAAATAAAGACATTATACAGGCACTTTTTTACGAGGAATTTAATAATGTAGTTAATATTTTTTTTCAATTATTCGTTTAGCCGTATTAAGATAAACTTTTTTAAATGGAAATCATAGGCGGCTATGGCAATTTTGAAAAACCTATTTTTTTGATTTAAAAAATATATATTTGTTACAGAATATTTTTTTATAACTACACTTAAAAACTGAAATACATATTTTGTTTGATAATAGTTGGCCATGGAAAAACTCTTTCACTTCAAATGTGTAAATAATAATAAATAAGAGTTTTGTGAACTGTAAAATAGATGAAAAAATAGATAAAATTATAAAAATTTAAAAAATACGATACGATAGAAGTATTGAACAAATATGCGAGCGCCTCAGAACAAATTATTACATATTTTTAAGAAATCCAAAAATTGGAAAAACAAAGGTGTCAGCAGTCAACACAATTAGAAAAAACATTTTTTTGATGATCTAATGGAGGTATGATAACGTTCCACATAGACGGAATTTGGGTATTTGAATAGCCATATCGTCATTTTTGTGTCATATAAAATTTATTTTATTGAAGAATTAAAGCGGCTTTTTTTACAACACTCTATGTATCACTAGAAGTTACAATGGTAATGTTAGCTTGTTTAAAAACAACGAAATGTTATTATTCGCCAATAAGTTGATTTACGATTTATTTTGCATTTTTTTTCGTTACTTACTACTTAGAAAACTCTTTTATTAGTGACACTGGTTGAATAAATATAGTTTAAATCCTTTTAGTTGAAGATGCAACATTTTTTCATGGCCAACTGCGAACAAAAATCAAAGATAATTTTTTGCTAAAAATGTGTTGTAATAATTTGTTACAAATATATATTTTTTAGATAAGAAAAAAACAAGCTTTCTAAAAATGACATAGCTATCTACGATTCCCATTTAAAAAAATACAAGTTTATTTTATTACGGCTAAACTAATAACTGAAAAAAAAATGTTTGCCACATTATTAAATTCGTCGTAAAAAAAGTGCCTGTATAATGTCTTTATTTCAAATCCGTATCTTCTATAATAACGAAGATATGATTTTTTTTAGATTTCGCCAAAATGTCAACTTTTGTCTGTAAGTCGAAAACAAAAGACGATAGCAAGATGCGGTTTTTACCAATATTATTTTCTCAAAAAATGAGCCCCAGAATGTATTACTCGTTTTTGGCTAAACCTCTTAGTTTCGGAGATTCCCTATTCGGACATACAAAATGCAGCACCCTGTACTTTAAAAATAAAATAAGTAAACCTGTGATAACATCTTCATTTAATAAAGGTCAGGGTATGTCATTTCACTCCATTCGACTCCTCTTGCACTTTCAGATTCTCTGAACTTTCTCCTTCTCTCGTTATCATGATGTTATTTTAAAATAATGAAAACAGTCCAAAGTTAATTATTGGGGGTCGTCCTGTTAATTTTCCTTATCTTATATTATGACTCACTTTCCACATCATCGTACTTCCATGAAACCGGCATCTATATTAATTTTATGTCTATAACCTTTGTTCCCGTTCTTTTCGACCAATCACGAGCGAGTATTGCGTCCACGTGACTTTTGATCGGCGTCATCTTGAGGTGCGACTCCTAGGATAGCTGTTCGTTTGTGGTTCTCTCAAAAATCAGTCAAATTTTGCAGTTTGAGTACGAAACTTTGTATTTTTTTATTTTTTTCGTTAAGTGAAACATTTCGGTTTGTTTTTTCTGTTGTAAATCGTCGCGAGTGTTTGTTTCGAAGTCGGTGGATGCATTACCGTTCGGAGAAGCTGCGTCTTTTCGAAGTCCCCAGCAATTGCATGTGCATTACCACCTATGAATCTTTATCAGGTTATGTGCAACAGGAAGAGAAGTATATCAACGATTTGGATGATAGCGTTCGAAGTCTTTCGTTAGATACGAGGGGGTCACTCTCTCCTAACCTACAAATTCTCACTGCTAAAGACGTCGTCTTGAGGAGATGCGGACAAACGGACATTTTGCCATTCGAACAATGCTATCCACGGAGGTAAGAAACTCATAATTTGCTGCTTTTTAAATGGTTTAATTGCTGCCATGTTTTATTCAAACTTTCGATTCTTGCTAATTGCGCAATCATTAATTTTGTGTTTATGTATGGCTCCAAGGTAAGTTTATGTGGTAAAATTGTTGGTAAAAGTTCCATGAGGGAAAAGATTTGGGAAAGTTTAATGACGTAACTGGATTATGACCTACTGAGATTTTTGCGACGCAAAAAAATCTCGAAAAGTCAAGACCTACTTTGATGTTGCACAATATTAAGTTTTGGATTTTGACGTTTTTGGGTTGAAAATTAAAAAAGAATCGGTCAATGAAGCGAAGCTCCTTTGTTTTGGTTTGGTGTTTGTTTTAATCAGGGCCAAGCTGCAGCATTCGGATTTGAAGGATTTAAGAACAATACGTGTCTTGTGTACATTTTTTAACAAAATATTTTTAAAATTATATATTTTTATAATGTCGTAGAAATAGTATTTCAAAATTCTAGTTCGCATTTTTCATAATTTGCGCCGCGATTGATTTTAATTTAAATATTCTAGTACTATTTTATTGCACAATTTGATATATTGTTATAATTACAAATACATATTGCACATTTATTTAAAAAATGCAACAGATACCTGTTGAAAAAAATCACCAATTTGTGTCTTATGGTGTACAAAAACACAAAACACACAAAAAACTAAGGTGTCTACATGATAATATGGAAATTGTCAGTTTATACTTAGCTGAAAGTCTTTATGACCATTCGAGAATTAGTCCGACACTTTTGAATCACCTGTACGTATTTATGAAAATTTAATAACTTATTTTTAATGGAATACCGTGTGTAATAATTGGCAGTTTTTTGGTTGTTTGTTGTGCTAATATTTAGATATTTACACAAAACAAACTAATTTTATCAATGAATAAATTGACGTCAATAAAGGAATACAAAAAAAAAAGAATATTAATTAGAAACAGACAGGTCAAATACCTAAATATGAAATAAACATATTTGGGAATTTAAATTTTGATATTCAAAAATATCGATTAGATTTTGTTTTCCTCTTTTGTGAAGAATATTTCCAGATATCCTGGGAATAATTTTTTGATACGTCAGCAAATCAGAGAAGTAAATATTGGTTATGTCGATGACGAACAAAAGAAAGGTCTGTTTCAGAAATAATATTTAAAAAAATGCAAAGTAGTTGGCAAAAAGTTATATCCGTAATATCAAAAAAATAATATGTATTTTATATTCCACGACTCAATTATTTGGATAATAATTTTAGTAACAAGTGAAAATAATGAAGACTTATTTTGTAAGAAGTAAATAGGTACAAATTTTCTTAGAAATAAATCTGAAATAATTAATGACAATTACTAACAGGTTTAATTCAGACCAATCATATTTTTTATTATTATAACGGTTCAAGAACACCTAAAAAATAATTTACGTATTAACAGTTAATGTAAAATGGCCTTGAAACATTTTACGATTGATTAGACATTTCTGTGTCTTATAACGGATGATTTCCAGAACGTCATTATTTGTGGAACAATTTTTTTTAAAGAAGTGACGTTAATTTTTACATTATGGCTAAAAAAAATTCAACCTTTATTAGAAAAGGTTTTGTTTTCATTGACGCAGTTTTATACTTTCAAGACAGAATAATTAATTGCGATTATTTTAATAATTAAATATACTGCCATTTGTAATGCAAATTTTTTCTACGTATTTCTTTAAAATGGGGAAACGGAAAAGCATTTTGTGTAAGTCAAATGTTAGTCATTCTCGATTTCACCTTGAAAATGTTTAAATTCCTTATCTTTACCCAAAGTTATTTGCAATTTGTGTACTTAAAGGTTATTCATTTTTTTAGTTCAGTTGCGTACAAATATTGGTTCGATAACTGATAAATAAAATAATTAAGATCTAGAAGAAATATTGTGTGACATTCGAGAGAAATTCCAATTGTCCAATTAGATAATCGTGCTTATCAACACGTGTCGTTATATTAAAGATTGTAATAAGAAATCACTTACACATCTATTTTAGCGATAACTTATAATGTATTTTCTTTTAGATATTGTGTCAGAGGTTACATCTGTGTTAGAGATTAATTGGAGTAGACTATTTCTAAAATTAGATGATTTTCCACGATTTTTTTTATTAGATTGAGGATCTATTTTTGTTTAACAATCATTAATGAAACAAAAGCTTCTATTAGATACGAGTATCAAGGCTTATCTTAAAAATACTGCGCAAAAAAATATCTTTTGCATTATGTCAGTGAACTATTAATAATAACAATAAGATGAAAAATAAATCCAAGTCTTCCTTGTATCTAATATAAGTAATTTTCTAACTCTTGTCTTACTTTAGTTCTAAAAATAACGATTTCATGTTCAACCTTGATTTATTTTGGGCTTTTGCTTGCGCAAAGTTATCGATTATTTCTGAAATACAATGATGTTTTTTCAGTGCTCTTCAACATTGCCAGAAAATCGGGGAAGGCGTCTACGGAGAGGTCTTCCTCTACCGAAATCCAAATGGCGGCACTTCTGTCATGAAAGTCATCCCCATAGAAGGCGACCTCATCGTTAATGGCGAAAAGCAGAAGAAATTTGAGGAAATTCTATCAGAAATTGTCATTGCAATGTACGAAATCACATTAAAAAAAAATCGATTGTAACATTTTTCTTTGTGTAGGGAATTGAGCAGCTTGAGAAACGACAAGAAAAACACCACGACCAGTTTTTCACAAGTACAAAACATCAAATGCGTGCAAGGATGTTACCCTGAACGTTTACTAGATCTTTGGGAACTTTATGACGAGACAAGGGGTTCAGAAAATGACTCCCCTCAAATGTTCCCGCCTCATCAACAATACATAATCTTAGAACTTGCTAATGGCGGCGAAGCATTGGAGTCTTATGTATTTAATAACGCCCAGCAAGCATACGCCATGTTTAAACAGGTGAGTTTAGTGATTTTTGAAGTAGACAAGTAGATAAAAGTTTTGTTGTAGACTGCATGTGCCTTGGCCGTTGCTGAAAGCGAATTGAAGTTCGAACATCGTGACCTTCACTGGGGCAACATCTTGATCAATACCGTCGATAAATCAAAAGTTTTGCGTTTCCGTTTAAACGGAAAAGAAATCGAAGTTGAGACGAATGGAATTGAAGCAACAATAATAGATTTTACATTATCGAGAATTGAGTTTGAAGGAGTTGTTATTTTTAACGATTTGAGTCTCGATAATGATTTGTTTGTTGCGAAAGGTGACTATCAATTTGAGATTTACAGGTTGATGCAAAAAGCTAATGGGTAAGACTTGGTGTTTGGTTGTGTTTATTTTAGTTAATTTGGGGTTTTTACAGGAACATGTGGCAGCAGTTTCAGCCCTATACTAACATTTTGTGGCTTCATTACGTTTTAGATAAAGCGGTTAGTTCGGCTTTGCGCTACAAGAATCCTAAATCTAAGGTCCATCACGAATATATTACAAAATTGAAGAAAATAAAAGATGAAATTTTGACATTTTCGAGTGTCGCAGAGTTTGTCAAAAGAAGTTTTTAACTGATGACTAAATATATAATTTAAAAAGTTTGTCTTATACAATATACGTACAATTTTGTAAATAACAAGCAATCGTAAAACATTTGTGTGTTTGTTTTGTTGCATTTAGGCTACACTAAACATGAGTTATTTTTAAATAAAACAATTAAAATAAAACAGTCTATTGTTTTAACCATCTTAATTAACGAAAAATATTTACACGAGACAATTTATGAAAGTACTTAACGAAATAATGATAATTTTCGTCCACTTGGTATTTTACCGTCACTGACGAGACCAGCTTGGATGAATTCCAGGGCGGGCATTCGGCGTAGGTCTCCTCGAGCAGCAACGGAAGGTTGTGAACTTAACAGTCTTTTAGCAACAGACACAATATCATCCCGAGTGATTTTTTCTGGAAAAATACCTTAAATTCCCGACCAACACACGATATTTCTTTACCTATCTCAGTAATGAAATGTTGCGGCCGTTTCCTATGTCCCGTCGCCAACACCTGCCGCCCAATATCCTCGAATATCACCGGTCGGGACTCCAAATTCATCAACAGCATGGACTGCAGTTGCGTCTTTGCTCTCTACAACCCTTGACTGTAGAAAAAATCAAAAATGTGCCTCGCCATACCCTCAATTCTTGTCCGTTGACCGACCCCGCCATGTTGACCATCTCTTTGACGATAACTTCGACCATTTCTTTGACGTGGTTTGGTGGTGCACTCGCATGGATGCATAAAAGGCCGCTGTCGGCATACGCGTGGTTGTAAGCGGTGGCGCTGTACATCCAGTGGTACCTGTTTAATACGTTGGTGTAGAGGCGGGTGTACATGCCTTTGCCGGGACCACCGGCGCTGAACGACCCACCGCCCCCTAGCATCATGTTAAGGACGCAGATGGCGATGAAGTCGGGGTCTTGGTGCGAGCAGCCCTCGAGACCGACCATTATGTGAGAGAGGACGGGCAAGCCGGCCGACGCGAATTGGGGAATATCGCATTCTTCCTGTGAAAAAAAAAATGCAATAAAAATTCTAATTACGCCTGTTTAAATCCAACTGACGGAAATTCAACTCTAACGCCATAAAAACTGTCACTGTGACCTTGTTCTATTTCATTGACCCACATGAGTCTAGACTCAAGATAAATATCAGGTATTGATTTGTAATGTAGGTGTTTTTATCACAAAGAATGCATAATCGAGTGGACATCCACTTTTTTTTTAACTCTTTGAGGGACGGTGGGTTAAAATTTAACCCACCTTTTTAACTCACCTTAATTTATATTTTTGAGCAGTTTTGCTCATTAATTGTAATATTTTTAATAATACAGACATTATTCTTGTAGAATTTACCACATTTTTTTATTTACAATTAATGAAATTATTATGAAAACTATACAATTTATTAATTAATTTGAAATAACTACATTTTTATACTTATTTTAACTTAAAAAAAAATTGAATTGTTTTTTGAGAATATACACATAATGGATGATTATTATAAATACAAAAAGGAAAAAAAAAACAAAACAAAAAAAATTTCTTTCATTGGGATTAGAATTTCGATCCTTAGGTTTATCAGGCAAAAACTTTCCTATTTCGACTAGTTGGCTTTGTGACGGCATTGAGCATTTCCAGCCTATTTAGGTAACCAATTTCGCTTAACATTACATTGATAAAATTTTGCATTTTTACTAACTGTAATTCGTATTATTCTTAGTTTTTTGAGATATGAGTGGTATGTCCTGATGTTGTGGAAAATTACAACAATAACATGAACTTTGTTTATAAATTTAATCAGACAGTGCATTTCGTCCACTCAATTTCTGTGAATTCACTAAAATTTACTGTAGCCTGTGCTTCATTGTCATGATAACTGACACTGTTAAGTTTAATTAAATTCTTATTCATCTTGGACCGGATTTCCAATCTAAAAATGGATTGGTACTATACCTCAAGCAATGTAAGACAAAGCACAGGGAAAAAGTATGTAAGGAATATCGGGCATTTTGTCAACATGATAAATGTTCATCAAAGTTCTCAAAAAGTTAGAAAAACCTAAAGACTAATTTACACTTTTAGTCTGTCATGGAAATTGGTTGGACAAAATTCACTGTCCGTCACTGTACTCAATTGAAAAAGTCATAAATGGTGGCACTGAATTTTTTTCTATTTCGTTGGTACTTGCATTATGTAGCACCAAGCAACAAGAGTCTCTAAGTAACTGGCAGTATGTAACTTGTAGAGTGTCTCTTTGTTAAGGCAAACAGAAAAACTGCTTTCAACCATATTATTACAAAAAAATATAACTTTTGTTACCTATCGTACGTATTATTTAGTTTGCTTTTGTTTTTATTATTTGTTATTATTTTTCTCTGTTCATTATAATACTATTTTATTTTCTTAATTTTTTAAATGCCTATTATGTCACTAAATAAGTAATAAACAATGACTACTTCATATGAAGAATGCTTTGAAATTATCAAAAATGTACGAGATTTTATGAGGAGTTCATGAAGTTAATGAGGTTACCGGAGAAAGTAAAAAAATCTGAAATCTAAAATAATTGGTCATAGACGATGAAAAACTGTCGTTAGAGCTATTTTAATACCTATTTTTTAAAACAACTTGAAAAATGATTATTTTTAAAATCCAGTAAATAGCTGTACCTGTACGGTATTTTAAATACATTAAAGTGTGTACCTGAAAGAGTTAATAAATGGGTAGGTATATACTAAAGCTGAAGAAAATAAAAATTCTATTTCAGAAAATGGTAGGAAGAGTAGGTAATTGTTACGTTTGCGAAATCTATCACTGCTTAAAAATTATGTATTTGTCACAATCTGTAGGTATAAGCTGCAGAAGGTAAAAATTGGTTTCAAATTAAATAGTTACAGTAAATTGGGTACTATAATATGTTCTTCGGTTTCAATGTGCTTAATTTTCTCTTTTTTAATAACAGACTGAAAATTTACTGTGCGAATCTGCGTACGACTGTGGAAATTTGAAATGTAGATTTTACAATTTTATTAACAGGGCGACACAATTAGTAGTGTTTTTTACAAGACGTTTCAAAATACAAGTTTTGTTAAGAAACTGTGTACAAAGCATGGTGTAAGATATTTAAGTGATGCAGCGAGCGCATGGACTGCGTTGGCTGAAGTGTGGCCGAACTGGTTACGCGATTTTTAGACAAGGATGACATATGCGGGCCATTCGTTTCCGAAAGTCCGTCTAATAAAGTGCACCTGAGGTGCACTTTTATATTGTTCTAATTCATGTTTATACATTTTGAAATGGGAAAAAAATGTTGTGTGTCCAAGTTTAAAAGTGGTCATGCTGAAAATAATGAAAAATTATCTTTATTTCCGATACCTACTACGGAAAATGTTGCCTAATCGCATAATTCCAAAAATTCTGTATTTTCACTGTAAAGGATCATGTGTGTAAAAAACATTTTAAAGCAAAACATATGTAATTCGTGAAATAAATACTGGATGTTATACGGTAAATCTAAAGAAAATTAATTAAAATTATTATTATTATATTAAAAACACCATAAAACATATTTTTTCTAGATTGAAACAGCTTATCCGAACTTTCTCAAATTTTATCTCAAAAAGCCAAAATTAGAAGAAGAAGCAGTACTGTTTTTCCAGTTGTCCAGGATATTGTTAAATTTGAACCACAAGTTAAACGAAGGAGAAAAGCAAAAAGAATTGAAAAAGAAACTCTAAATTTAGATTTTTTTGATTGCTGTTTTTAAAAATTATTAATAAATAATAATAATTTGCTTATTTATTTTAGTAGAAGAATCAAACATAGCTGAACTGAATAACAAACAAAATTTATTTGAAAAAATTTGAAATAAGAATAAAGGTTTATTACCTCCTATTTATTTATTTACCTTATAGTCTTACCTTACATTCAATTTCGAATGGTAATAATTAATGTGATTTCAATAATTATAAAATAAAGTTCAGTTCAAAGTAACGTTATTTAAAAAAGTAGTAATCGACGCAAGGTGTGAAATGAACTTTATACAGATATTTGATCTCTCTGATTTAATTTTTCTCTGGATTCAAAAATAACTACAGTCCAAAAACTGAATTAACAACAAATTTTTGATAAATTGATGGTGTGTTACGGCAGTTTTACAATTCCTAATAATTTTAAATTTAGAATTAAATTTTACTTAGCTCCAGTTTAATGATCGAATGATCGAATTAAAGGGACTTTAAAGTTAATGTTGGTTTAGAATGTAAAATTTTGCTCAAGGAGTCCGTAGCAATTAGCACATTCTAAACAACATTTTTTTAATGCTCCTTTAAATTCGATTATGCAACTGGCCCTTAGAATATTATGCTCCTACAAAATATGTAGGTGTTTATGTTCTTGAAAAATCTTTGTCTTCGATATTCCGTTTCATAGAATTACCTTATTTAAAAAGAATTATTTTTAATTAAGTACTAATTTATTTAATTATTTAATATAATAACTGTTTTCAAGTAAAATTCAATATGTATTTGTTTTACGTTTCGCAACAGAAACACATGTAATAAAAAAAAAAAGTTCAAGCAAAGCTTTATCATTTAGATAATATTTCTTATAGAATTTAAATTCAGAGATATATGACGTGTATTTTTTATACATACAGGGTGTCAATTTTAAAACTTGCTATAGCCAATATCTCTAGAACTAAAAAAGTTGTTGAGAATCACTCAAAACTGTTTCGGTGGTTTTTAGGGGGAATCAAAATGGCATGGTAAGTGACGCAATTATTCAAAAACGAAGACGTTAAGTTTTCATTTTTTTTATTATATTTAAGGATGGGTGGAGGTGTGTCATTTTAATTCCCCCTAGGAACCACCACCAAAACGGTTTTGAGTGATTATTAATAACTTTTTCAGATGAGAGAAATTGCCGATTGCAAGTTTTAAAATTGACACAGTGTATAAACTTGTATTAAAAAATTATAACTATTATCATTTATACAACTGCAAGTTTTCGGTCCATTCCTTCATTTATTGATAGTAATGATGGCCCGATTACGCTATCTCTTTCTAAATTGAGCCTGACCGGTTTGGCCACACGTTTGCAGGGCTCGCTGCATCACCTAAATATCTTACACCGTAGTAAAGAGTGATTTTATGGTATGTGCAAATATTTTAAGAGGCGATACTAAAGTTCAAAAGAAGTCAAAATAACTCAACTTGCCTTTTAAGAATGTTTATAGTTTCTGAGATAGTGGATAAAACCTCCACATTAGCGTCAAAAAAAATATTAAAATAATGCAACATAAACGAATTTTGAACCTTTTGAGTATTTTATCCCAAAGTTTACATTGCTAGTAATCGGTAACATGAGGTAATGAAAAAAATAGATTACAAATTTTTACCGTTTTATGATTTTTTTTAGATGAAGACACTTTTTTCACGAGAATAATTAAGCGATTTATAATAATCGAAGACGATACTAGGTGACAAGGTTAGCCGAGTCACCTCCGCATCGTCCGAGATGGTTTAATCGCACTAGTGTTCGGAAGAGGGAGGTAAAAATTTGTATTGTTAAATAAATTTAATACGTAATAAAATGACATAGAGGTAATTAATTCTCAAACCACAAACCTCGAAGTAAAAACTGTATGTAAATAAACTTGTTATTTTTTTTATAGCAAATCAAAATTAGACAAAAGATATAATCGAGTAATCCATATAATTTTGAGGCGTTTGAAACTTTTTTATTGACTAATAAAATCAGATAAAATAAAAATTAACTACAATAAGAAAAATAATGTTTTCATAGAAAAGATATAGTTTTGACACCACCAGGTTCGACAAATCGAAAAAGACTATTACCACAGTTCCACATATGATGGGAGCATTTTTTCGTCACACAAATGCAGATTTTATGTAAATGAAGATTAAAATCATTTCAGCATTTCCTGAACAAACAACTTTTACTTACGTAGATTTTAACCGGATTATACAAATAGGTTTATTCAAAATGAAAAGCTTCATAAATGCCATTTCCTACTATAACTGCAACTATAGAACAAACAAATAAAAAAAATTAAATAAACTAATCGAAAATTAAAAGTTTTCTGACAAAATGAATGAATTCAAACGTAACATGAATTGCACAACCCGATGTAATAAATTATTTGTAAAAAACGCCTCCAAAAATAAACACCTATCAATGTTTATACGAAAAAACTTGATAATTCAAACATATTACGCAAAAATAGCATTTATCATAATATTTTTAACCATTTTTTTTTATCCAACCTCGTGATTGTTATTCTTAATAAACAACAACAAAGTTAATTTCTGTCATATACATACCTGAACTATTCCTCCCGTATATTGCGCTATACTATCATCAACCCCTAGATTTTTATGCGGCGTAAATAACGTCCTATCAGACTCCCATATGGGTTTTTTATCAACAAAATGTTTCTGTACAGCTTCACACAATTTATTATGGTCCACCCCAACTCCCGCCACTACCATTCTCTCAGGGGTGTAATGCTGACTTAAATAGGTGAAAAGTAGTTCCCTGTCGATTTTATTAATGTTTTTCTTGGGGCACAGTTTAGGAAGACCCAAAGTATTGTCTCTGTAGGCGGCCTAAAATTAAAATTCGAGCATTTTTCAGTAAAATAATTGACTCGTACCGCATGTATCATATCCATAAGCAGTGTTTCCTGCTCTGGTCTCATATTCAACGTTTCCAGTTCAAAATTAATTGCTTGTCGAGCGTCATCTACTTCATCGGGAGTGATCTGCGGCCTTAAGGCTGCCTCGGCTAGGAGTTGAATGACGTCATTTAAGCCCTTTGTGTACGCCGATGCGGCGTATATCATCGTGTCACGTGACGCTTGACTGTCGCAAATCCCGCCGTGTTTCTCGAGTTTGTTGAACATTTCGTCCTTGTCAGGATAATACAAAGTTGACTAAAATAGTAGAATTAAAACAAGCGAAATTTAGATTGTCAGTTATTACATTAAAGGCTAGCTTTTCTAGAAAATGTGATATTCCGCTCGGGTACGCCACTTCATACCTTGAACCTGAGTCAATGATAACTGAAAAATGTATCAAAAGTTAATATTTCTCGTTTCGAATTAACACACACTTACCCCCCACTGTGCAAAACTCCCCAAATCGGTTCTCTGAAGCCACCCTGAGCCCATTTGATAACGTCGTCACTTGTGTATTCTGGTGCTCTTTTTGCAACGAAGCGTAAATGGGGGTCGGGAGATTTTCCACAGGTTTGTCCATTGGGGGCAAATTTGTTACCTTCTTGCCCGATTTGTTCGCAAAAGTCTTCGGAAAGGGGCTTTGGGGACTCCATAACCTTCACACATGTGGTTAGATGCGAAATTTTTGCAAAAAAAATCAACTTACGGGTTTTTGGTGTGTAAAATGTATCTCTGAAACTGTTTATATAAAGCCATAACTCTGAAGGTTGAGGGTGAATTACAAATGCTTAAATTTTAGATGATTTTGACATGAGACTGCAATTTGACAGTTGACAGATTAAATTTTATTTTTACACCTAAGGTTGGCAATGCGGTGCACGGGCGAAATGTTGGTTGCCTACACCGCACTTTTTGAAAAAGCAATTTAAGTAATTAATATTTCGTTTTTAAATATCACTTTGTTTTTTACACTTTTTATATCAATTACCACAGATTTAGTCAATTTGCAATTTTTTACGTTAGAAAGGCTAGGATGTAATTAACTATACATACAGGCTCTATTCCGGCGAAATCCTACATTAGAAATATTGAGAGATGAAGCAATGATATTTATCTAAAATTTTGTATACAGGGTGTTTCACAAAATTTTACGAGGCTTGAGCTTAATGTGCGCACGCCGCTCATCGCATCTGAAAATTCATTAAAAAAATTGCGCCATTTAAAAAGGTAGAAATCAAACAATTTTAAAAAGAAGAAAAATTTTAATTAAAAATGACTATACAGGGTGAGTCACCCGCTCTAGAAAATTATAACAAAGCAATAGCAATAAATACAGGCTGTTCCGGATAAATCCCATACTAGAAATTTTGGGAGTTCTAACAGTTATATTTATCTAAAATTTTGACTATAGCCATAATCGTTTAGATTCTGCTCAATGAAAATATTTTCAAGATGGCGGCACTTCCGGTTATACCGTTGCGTTTCTGGATTACTCAAGTGATTTTGCGAGAATTTTCATTAGTCTTCTCTATACCTAAGTATAACCGTTATTGAATAAAATGTGTTTTTTTTTAAATCTGGCGTCAAAGCTATCATAAAAGTTTGTTTGTGAACAAACCATCGTATTGAAAGTTATTAATCTGACATTTGACACCTCACCGGGCGTACTAAAAATTGTGGTCCCTTCACAACACACTCATATCACCGCCAACTATGACGCCAAATTTAAATAAACACCTGTTATTTAGACTTTTTTGAAATTTTTTGGATTTGCATCTTCTTATTCAAAAATATTTTTTTATTATTTTAAAATCGTATTTGAGCAAGAGAGATCTTTTCTTTGGTGCATTTGATGCAAAAATAATTAATACCCACTTTAAGGTTACGCTTGGGAAACTTCAGATACCTACTCATAACTCAATTTCTTCAAATAGAATGCCCCAATTTCTTTACTCAATAAAGGACATTTAGTTCTGCATCGATCTGTATCAACATTTCCTATATCTAAGTTTAATGCTTTCCCAGTTATCTTGACTTGTTTTACAATGGAAGAATTTTTTTTGCATAATAGTTTCTGCATAGTTTGGAAACATTTCTCACTGAATAAATACGAAGTTTTTCTTTTTGAAATTGTGTTATTCCTTTCGTAAATATAAATTGAATTAATTTAATCCAAATTTGAATAACTTGATAGCTAATGGCTTATGAATTTCTCGTAATACCAAAATAAGTCACTATAATTTAAAACTATTAAACATAGGTATAGGAAATGCTAATACAGATCGAAAGAATTAAATGCTCCTAAATTTTGTGAAAAAAAATTGGGGCAATTCATTTAGAAAAATTGAGTTAAAGGTATTTCAAGTTTCTCAAACGTAACCTTATAATAATTAATTATTTTTGCAATTATGATAAATGTTACATATATTGGGCTGGTGCCTAATCTTCATTCTTGTTTTTTTAATGAAAACTCTGAATTTCTCTAGGGTTTAATTAGAATTAATTGTGAAAAGATTTGAAATACATAATTGTGGTTTCGATGTAATATAATAAACCAAAATGTTAAAATGAAATAAATGTTTTTTCATAGTTTCAAATTTGAAGGTGTATTCTCTTTTCATTTTTTTTGGAATATGTGGTGGTCCTGAAATTATTCGTTTTTACTATATATTTGGTAATATCTATTAATTTTCGCATTAGACAAATTACCAAAGCTGTCGCATTTCCGCCAACCCGGGCATTAAAAACCACAAAACTCTCGCCATTTCCTAATAAACCCCGTCTAAAATCTGAAATTTAGCATCGCCGACCGGAAGAGCGGTCTCTCGCCCTCTTAATCGCATAAAACCAATCAAACTCCCATTTGAAAAGGTGCAAGTCGATGGGTCTGATCGATGTTGGCACACCCACATGAGGGATGATTGACGATGATTTTTTGGTTCTTTTGTGGAAACAAGTCAACGACCGCAGATGGACAAATAATGACCATTTCTTCGGACTCCCGTGAGCTACCGTTGCAACATTTGGTGCGGTTATGATTGAAAGATGGTCAGCTTGCATTGTTTTGCACGCGCCAACGTCATGTTGTTGAACTCGATTTTACCGAGAAAGCCCTCGAGAGGCTTCCAGAATTCGTGTCATTTCAGGTCTGGCCTCGAGAGGGGCTATTACAAGGGAAATGAACCCTCGAAACTTTGCAATTAAACGAATTAAGTAATTAGAACGATAAAAGTTTCAACTTTTTATTTTTTCCACAATTGTTAATAATAAATGCTTCAGTTAGTACAAATACAAAATCATTTTTTAAACAATTTCGTTTTTTTTATCCAACTGTTGTTCCGTGAGGAACCTGGAGACGTTTCTTGAGAAGTCTCTTCTTCATTTTTTTGTTCAGCTAATTGCGGTTGAATATCAACAACCAAGCTTTGGCGACATAAAGTCGAAACTGTGTTCATTTTTCCCGCATCCTTCCCTCTCCTCATTTTCACTTTCCTAAACTTTGAGGCAATATTTGAAAATCCAAATTTCCCTCCAAGGAGACCCTTCTGTTTGTTGGTGTTTCTGGGAAGTGACACATAACCGCCCCCGTGAATTTCAGGATCAATTTGTTTGTAAACAAGAGCATCAACATTGATCATTCCAGCACTTGCTGATTTAATTAAAGCCCCACAAGCCGACTCATAACTCGACTCGCTGTCTACACTAATCTGACTGAGCCGATTTCTCGTCGGAAATTTGATCGGTTCTTCTGATTGTGAAGGAGTAGAAGCTGGACCAGCATTCAGAAACTCCTCTTTGGCTTTCTGCAATTTCTGCAACCTTAATTCAGTCGAGAGTCTCTTCGCATCAACTTCTTCATTTCTAGCAAACGTTGCAACACTTGAAGACTTGGAAATGCAAGAAGACGCACTTTTTGGCATGGTTACTTGCCTGTGAAGAAAACTAGCACTGGCAGATTTTTGCACTGGTGAAGCTTTCTTTAATTCTTCTTGGTACCGTTCTGTTTGAGCCTTGACTCGGCGTTCGGCTATCGGCGAACGCCAAGCAACAGGGGACGCAGAACCACTACTCTTCCCCGATTTGGTACTTGGTGATTCGGAAATTTTTTGGTTGTACTTATCCATCATGATTTTGATACTTGGAGAAATGTCTTTGAGGAGTTTCCTCTGAGGAGCTGGAGACACTGACGTTGGCAGAGGTGGTAGCTGTGTCAAACTACGTTCCCTTGAAATATCTTGGTTTTTCGCTTCCGGTGGTGCTTCATCAAATTCTCGGCTAAGTCCACTTTCCACCAAAGGAGTGAATAATTTCCGAGTTGTTTTCACAAAAACTGTTACTGGGGAATCTGAGGGTTTTGTTTCTTCGTTTAAAGATGAAATATTTAAGAAGTTGGTTTGGGTCGGAACTACAACTTTCTGAATTATGCTTTCATCTACCACAACAGCGTCTTTTTCGTCACTTTGCTCTTTATTCATTGTTGTACTACTTTCAGAAACAGATCTAGTCCGGGTTAATTTTTTATGAGTGTTCTTTTGCATTTCTTCTTCTTCATCGTCGGTGTCTGTAAAATTTCGATTTTGTTGACTTTTTTGCCTGTAACGTATCCTTTTTTTGATAGCACCTTGACTCTGAGTATTACAAGTGTCTGATTTTACATACAGTCGACCCTCACTTCCTGCATTCGACTCAATGGACGTTGTTTTCTTCACTGTTTTCTTCTTCCCGTTTGAGAATTTACGTCTTGGGGCTGTTAAATCTAAAACCAAGCTTTAGGTACTACCAACACAGCTAAAATCGTACCTGAAGCAGCACAAATGTAACTGAGACGTCTTCTCAGTTCCAACATTTTACTGTTTATATCTTTAGCAGTTTCTATGATTGGGTTTAAAGACCTAGCACCACAATCTCGGAACGCTTCATAAACATTTCTGTTGTTTAACTCAATATCGAGTCGTTCGGTCTGAAAAAACTATTATTTTACACAAAAACAATTTTTTTATTACCAATTGATTAATTTCCGATGATAAGTCTTGGACGGTTTCCAAAGTGTCAACAACTTGTTTCATTTCTGACTCATCACTTGTAATACCAGCAAAGACACTCGAATTTGCTTCTTGCAAATGCAGGATCTTGTCATTGAGTCGATTTGACATGGCTTTTTGTGATTCATCAAACATCTAAAACCACTAATTAATAAAAAATTAGAATTGAAATAACTGACCTTCAGGCGAATCAAATCAGAATTAACTTTCATAGCTTGCTCACTCATTACTTCCTGAGTTCTCCTAGAAACTTTGTAAAATTTTTGAAACAATTCACCACAAACTTACTGTATTTCCAACTCGTTCTCAATGAGATTCTTCAAAATACTGAAAATTTCTTCAATCAAATTGTAATTGTTTTGGGCCTTTGCTGACTCGCTACGGCGTACTTTAGGGGCGGCACAAGTTTCACCCTCACTACAACACCCATTAAAAGAGTACTAAGAAACAAAACAATCGTACCACATGGTCTTCAATTCTTCTCTCTGATAGACCGGTTGTTGGATTCTTTGGGAGTACGTCGGCAAAGGTGCCGCTGTTTCTTCAACTATATCTTCAACTTCGACAATCAGAGCTTCCGGTTCATCTTCGATAAACTGAATAGATGAAGATTTGGACTCAGCGAGAACTTCTTTCTCCAATTCCTCCACATCGTTTAATGACAGACTTGACGGTTGGTGACTCATCAAAGGGCAAGTGATTGCGATACTATCGGCGGATTTTGACCGGACTAGAGGAGGAGTCCTGTCTGGAGTTTTGTGTTTAGGGCTTGTTTTCCGATTCAGTGAAGAGTTTAAAAGAGCAAAAGTTGAAGATTCGGGTCCAATGCCTTGTGCTTTCTCCCATTCGTACAATTTTTGGGTAAATTTCCGGGAAATTCCCTCAAATCGGTAAAACCCAGAAGGGGTATGAATCAAAACTTCCTTTTTCAAACCTCCAAGAACCGAGCTTCGCAGTTTTGACAAACTTTCTTCCCGTTCTAAAAACTTCTGTCTTTCGCGTTCCAATCGTTGTTTCTCTTTTTCGATTTTTCCCAACTCTTTTTCAAACCATTGCAATTCTTTATCGTGGGGTTCTTTGTGTTTTTTGCTGTGTTTGGGTGAGGATTCCTTCCGGTTTAATTTCGGACTTGACTTGAATTCGGTCGTGGCCCCCGATTTGATTTGTTTCCACTCTTCTAGTTTCTTCCTGAAATCTTCCGACAAGGGTGGATACTCAATAGTGGGGGAAGTTTCGCTTTTAGGGGCACTGAGTGACTTCCATCTTGGTACTTCTGATAGTTTCTTTTTTGGGCTTTCTTTTCCCGAAAGTTTCCGGATTTTTTCCCACTCCTGCAACTTTTTGCGAAACTCAGGAGGAAGATTCTCTTCACTGGTCATTTGAATGCTTCTTTTGACAGACGGTTGGGACTTGATTTTTTGCCATTCTTCCATTTTCTTCATAAAAGCCGAATCTTTGGGTTCATCAACGTAACCACAAGATGAAGAAGGGTTGGTTATTCCGGGTGAGCTTTGCTTCATTCTTTCCCACTCTGTGAGTTTTTCTTGAAATTCGAGGCTAAGTTTCTTCTGTAATTGCTTGTAATTTCTTTGAATTTCGTCTTCAACTGTGTCTTCCTTTGAGTTTTGGGGATTGTCATGTGGTGGCAAGAAGGCTTTCTTCACTCTAGTCCACTTGGAAACTTTCTTCGAGTCCTGGAAAAACAACTAAAAATATTTTTGTTTCGGTTAGGGTTGCAGGAGTAGTTACAGAATCTTCGGCAATTGCTTGTTGGTATCTGGCCACAATTTCGGGTGGAAGGTCATTCGAGACCAACCTTTTGTAGATTTTGGGCGACTTTTTATCTTCATCTTCAAAAACATTATCTTCATTGTCGCTACATAACTCAACGTCAATTTGTATGTCATCGCTGTGTGCACTCAACCTGTGCTTCTTTTTAAAACTGTTCCTCGTCTGTATAATATCTTTCATTTTTGCCCATGGTGTTTTGTGGCATTTGTGTGATTTTTGGGATCCTTCCTGAAAAATCTCTCAGCGGTTAAATGGTTTATTATTTCAGTTTTGGCTGAAACAAACCTTGGAATGTGGAATGTAATTATGTGAATGTTCATCATCTGAACTTCGAAAATCTTCGCATGGACTTCGCTGATCTAAAATTAGCAATAATGATGATACGAGTAATAAAAGTTTGAAAAGTATTATCTCTGGTATGAGTAAACATTATTAAATTTGCATAACTGTATATAAATAGTTGCATACACGACTCTATTTTCCATTATGTCTAAAATTAGATTCTGGCAGTCGAACAAATTTTTATTTTTTCCTATTTTTTCTTCCCCATGTCACTGAACGAAATTGTGTTACTTTAAAAATAAATCCTGAATGAATCTTTTCATCTTTGTTCCGGTGTAACACGATACGGGGTGTTAATTTTTGATTGTAATTCAATTTCAAACAAAAGTTGGAGTTTATTTAATTTCATCTTTGTGTCAAACTGTGTTTGGCTAACCTAATTTTGAAAATGATGGAACTAATGTTTTAATGTAAACTTAACTTATAAATAGATACTTTAAATTCAATATTTTTGAACTAGATTTCGTAACTTTTTGTCAAAATAATGTTTCGAATTAAACTGCATTTTATAAATGGGTTAAAAATAGGCTCGACTTTTTATTGTGTCGGTCCATCATGTTATAGTTTGCATCCCATTAACTAAATTTAGACATTAGGGAAATGAGCTTTAATATTTTTTTAATTCGGCCAAATTGTTGGGCTAGGGTGCAGCGTATTTAATTCTGAAATAATTTAACATTTTTATTAATTAGTTCCTGCTTTCTTTGTCTTCAATATTTTAAGATTTTACTACTTTTTGTAAATTAATATGCAGCTGTTTTACTAATTAACTAGTGACCTGTCTGTCTATACCTATGTCAATAAATAAAAAATAGAATGTTTCTTTAAAAATCAATAACCGTCTCGTAAAAAACTAAGATTTTTAAGATTAAAAAAAAAACTTTTTGTTGTTCTATTTAAAATATGTATTACTCTACTCTTAGTTGTTTTTCAGTTTAAAAATCTGTTTTTCCTGATTTCTTTTTTACACCTAGACGTGTTTGACTTGACTGAATCAAATTAAATAGAAAAACCCAAGTCAGTTGACTAGTGTAAGATAGATTTTTTTTAAATACATACTGTCATGTCTAATTCAATACTACAATACTTAATAACAAACATGTTTCGATACAAAATTAAAGGATTACCTAAGAACAAAATGAAAAATTACTTTTTAAAAATGATACATACAAAAAAGTCATAAGTAGATAATTTCTATAATATTTCTCCGTTACTAAACTGGTACGGAAGGAAAAATAATTTTCTTATTCGTCAATTTTATTTGCATTAAACGCCAAAAACAAAAAAAAGAACTTTTAGTGTTTTTTATTTGGTTCAGAATTGTATTTTTGATAATTTTGGATTTTTATAGTTCACAGAATAAAATTTTTGACTTCAGAGCTTGTTTGAACTAAATAGTTTAGAAGTAAACATACTAATAAAAGTCCCTGATCCTCCGAGGTGAGTAGGGCGCAAGGGGGGTCTCAACCACCAAACAAGTAGGTACCGTTTTATGTGTGTTACAAAAAAATGTTATGTATAAAATTAAAACTAAAATTTCCTACAGAACGATGTTTTTATCTCTTTTTATCTCTTTTTGAGAGTTTGCTAATTAGTCTAAAAAACGATTAATGAATTAACTTGAGGATGTGGGTAGTAAAAATCGTAAGCATTGTGATTGGGCCGTTTCAAGTCGGCCGTTACGTTAATATTAAAAACCAATCACTTTACATTTCTGGATTCATTCAAAAATTTAATGGTACGATATGATTGGTCGGCTTGAGGTCGGCCATTATTATAAAGTATGTAACCATGGAGAAACCAATCACCTTAGACTTTTATAGTTTAATTCATAAAGGTAGCGACATTTGTTAATTCAGATTCAAATTTAGATAATTAATTTTTTATGGTAAGATTATGATTGTGTTTTGAAACTTACGTGTGTGTCGGTGCCTTATAACGCTAGCTTTAGTATCTTAGTACTTGTGTTGTGTTGTAAAATGTTTGTCTTACGTTGTCTTAGTTTGTGAGATAATAAAACCCTAATAGCATTATTCATCCTATGTGCTCATAAACACAATATGAATGGGCGACGAAGACAGTGAAATAAAAATTTTCGTCGAATTTGAACATTTTTATGCAAGTAGTGGAACATAACCTCACAGCAGTCACAGCGATCTCACATTCAAGGGATAGTAGGGACACATGTAAGGTAGGTAAAGACTACGAAACATGTGTTCAATTAAAGATACAGAACTATTTTATATCCAAATTTACTGCCTGACACCTTCCTTTCTGGGCGCTTTTTCTGTAAACTTATAGGTAATTTAAACACTAACTGACAAGGTGGGACAAACAAATTGTTCATTAATTAAAGAGTACGATATTTGCCACCACATATCCTGACAACTATGTGAGATACAAAAAACTTGAAATTTTTTCGAGATACAGGTTGAGTCATATATAATAAAGACCCTAACCGATATTCAGACGCAACCCAAAATACATTCTCAGATACCACTATTGTGTTTGTAATTTTTCAAAGATATAAACAGATACCTGTGATAGTTTTGACGATTTTTATGACTTGGAATCCTACGGTGTACTTTTGACATTACAGATTCAGCTACAACATTTTGTGGCATTCCCCATTTGTCAAGATCATGTCAGTTTCTTCGTCGTTTGAGTACATTTTGAATTCAATGGAAAAAAAGTCGGATTTTTGACACTGTCAAATTTACCTAATGACATATCAACATTACTTTGATTTGAATTTAATAAACTAAATTGTTCAAAGGCAAAAAAAGCAGAGTTGTGAGAATGTATTTTGGGTTGCGTCTAAAAATCGGTCAGGGTCTTTATTATAAGTGACTCAGCCTGTATAAGCAAAAAATCATAACACGGCACTTTATGGTTGTCTCCTTGAGCCCTGCTCATCTCGGTGGATCAGGGACTTATGTTAAGTTTACTTCCTAACTAACCCAAAACTGTTCTGAAGTCAAAAATTTTGTTCCGGAGCATTTATTCTAGTATACCTCTTTTTTTGAAGCGTTTATTGACTGAAATATTATGGTTGTTTTTCTTCGTTAAAAAATCTTAGTTATTTGTCAAAGTCTAAAATGAATATCGGGTGTTTTTTCGACCCACGAAGTGTTCTTTTAATTTTTTGATAATATTTCAAAACAGAAAATCAAGTTGTTTCTTTAAACGGGAATTACCAAGTCAAAATTTTTGGATGAAAATAACCATCACTTTTTCCTATGATCACAAATTTTGTTTGTTTTTTGTTTTTCTCAAGTTTTGTTGTTTTTATTAGTAGTTCCTATATTTTTCTAACATAGGAACTCTAGATTTTATGTGACCAAAATTTTGACTTTTATGGATTTTGTGTTCACTTTTCCGCAAAATAATAAGTTCCTTCTTGTCAAAATTTTAATGTAAAAATATGTGTATACGAAAAGAGTTAAGATTCAGCTTTAATTTCAAAGTCCCTTTGTCAAATATGGTGCAGACACACTTATTTGGTTTCTTTTTTCTTCTTCATGACTATTTTGTCACTTTATTATTAACAACTAGAGCATATTTAGAAAACCTGATGCAGTAAAAACTGCCTTAAAATTTTAAATTCGGCTTTCACACTTTTCTACATAAGTTTCTTAAAACTACATATTAGCGGTACTAAATTTATTTCATATTTTGTGTTTTGGTCTCAAAATTTTTAGACACTTTTTCTAACAAAATAAATTAAAACCTGGAAATCTCAATATAAAGTATATTTCATTGAAATTGGCATAATAGGCGGCTATGGAATTTCGTATTTAAGTTTGTAGACCTGTGTATGTCCCTGATATAACAGCTGATGGGGTTTTTGTTTTTCTTTGATCACTTACCTACATGGTTTACTTAACTGACATGACTGACATTTGTATTCGTTTTTTCACTGTTTTCGTTGGTTGTTCGTTATTCCTACTATTTTTTCAAATTATAATTAAAAGTAGTTCTCTTCAGAACCCCAGATTTAAAGTACACGCTAAGGTATGTTTGAAAACATAATCAATTTCTTTTTGTTCCTTCTTTTGTTGTTAATGGAATCAAATATACCAATTTGAATTAAGCCAAATTATTTTATCCACGGCAAAACACGATTTTTCAGGCTTCAGTACGCGAAGCTTCATTTTGTACAGATTTCTTTTTTTCACTCCGATCGCAACAACTTTACCATTGTTTAAAAATTCACAATTTTGTCCTACATTTTTAATGACAAAATCCAAACCCCTTTTGGCTGCAACTTTCACGGAAAATAAATTGTGTTTCATCTCCGGTGTGAATAAAACGTCTTTTAAAATTCCTGAAAGCCACTTATTATCAACGAAAGTCTGTATTTTCTACAAAGCAAATAGTGTATGTTTTTGGTGTCAAAACTACATCTACAAAGGGATGAAACTTTTTATGGAGAAAAACTCTCTCTGAAAACCTTTGAAAGAGGGTTCTTGAAAAATAAAATTTTAACTATCTTCACCTCACTTTTTTTAGTGACAAATTTAGTTCCTTAATATGTAAAGCCTTTTTCACATTTAAAGCGCAGTTTACACAATCATGGCCTACTGTTATGCCAATTTAAATGAAATGGATTATAGCTACTCAAAAGTCTAGAAAATATTTTGTTACGGCGGATGCACTCCGGATGAGCCTTTAGGTCATCAAAGACAAAAAACATGAGAAAATATACACCTTTAACTTATTTATTTCAAATTGTTATTATCGTATCAACAATAAATTACTCCCTAGGATTTAGGGATATTCATGAATAGGTTGCCATAGATTTGGTTAGGTTGGTTTTTAGTGACAAACAAAAGATATCGTAACTAGTGTCAAAAATTTAGGTTAAAGTCACCTGTCAGTTTGTATAGATAACTCAATTGATAGTTGACAGCAGGCTGACAGAAAACGTCAACCGTCAACAACAAGGGGTAACCAACACTAGGCATTCAAAATTACTTCTGAAAATTCTAGTTACAAACAACATAAAAAACGTAATTTTCCTAAAAATTCAAATCCTAGGTGGTAATTTCTTGTTGACAAATCTTTAATTGTACTCGAACGTCCCAGATACATGATTCGTCGCCCTACCTTGTTTTTTCAAAAATATCCATTATAACGGTTTTTGATTTTTTTCCAAAAAAAGTAAAAAAAAAAAATACGTTGGCAAGTTTTCAAATAGTATTTTATAGACAAATTATTTTTCTAATTTTAAATAATGCCAATAGTTAAAGAGAAAATAGAAAATAGAAATATAAATTCCGTGGCATCTGTCGTTTTAGAAACAAACTAAAACGGGTTCCTCTTTAATCTAAAGTTTTACTACGAGTAAATGCGCTAGTGGTGCCAACATTAATTTAGCATCACTTTATTATTACACAAAATTTGATGGAAAAGCTTTGTTTGCTTTCCGTTTTGATTTTCTCACCATGTCTATGGAAATCCTCCGTGGAGGAAGCCGTGGAGAGACTCGCCGGCGTGCTCACTTCCGCCGCACCCGAGTCCACCGGACTATGTCCATGGTCATCACACGACGGCACCCTCAGATACCTCGCCACCTCCACCGGCGCCATCCCCCCAATCCCACTATCCTGCGACTTGGCATCACTCACATTGGGGGCGGCTTTCTCCCACTTAAACGCCGCCTTCACTTTCGTCCATTTCGACACTTTCGCCGGCTTTGCCCTACTGTCCACACACGTCGATGCCCTCCTATCACTCCTCACTTCCGGCTCCAGACCCGTCACCGTCACCGAGCCGCTCCTGTTCCTCCCTTTCCTCGAAATCGACTGTCTTAGTCTCGAAGGGGCGGAAATCTTCTGCTTGGGACTCTTCGTCTCCGAGAGGATCGACTCTAGGATGGTTTCGGCGAAAGCGGTGTCTTTGTCCAACTCGGGGCAGTCGTCGCGGACGTCCAACTCCTTGCGCATCTTCTCCAAGTTGTTCAGGTGCTCTAGGTCGCGGATACGGCGGTGGAGACGCGCGTTTTGCTCACGGAGTTCCAGCATTTGCTCCATGAGCTTGTAGAGTTTCTCCAGGTGGTCGAAAGCGTCTTCGGTCACCATGATGGGGGCGAAAGTGGACGTGGAGCGGGAGTATAAATTGGCTTTTTGGAGGCTGTCAAGGTAGGCCAAGAAGTCATCTCTTTCCGATTCTTTCTCAGTGGGGTCGGGCGGGGGTGTGGGGAGCTTCGTCTTGTCGTACTTTCGACGAGACCTAAACAAATGAGAAAAATAAAAATAAATAATTTTTGGCTTAAAAAAATAAATATTAGGAGTAATTTTAGTTACTTGTGTATTTCTTTAAAAATTAGATTTAGAGCAATATAAGAGACATTTTCTAAAATTTCTATAAATTTTTAGAATTTGTGTACAGTGTTTTATATGAATGTGGGTAGCAGCAAAGAACTGTAAACGGAAGCGTTAGTGACGATATTCTTTACATTGTATTTAAAGTGTTTTATAAATAAGTGTAGTAAAGCATATTTGTTTGATTCATATTTTAACAATTACAAATTCCCCGTAAGTCTCACTTTTTTCTTAATTTTGATTTAAGAAAAGCATTTTTAAATGTTTTTTATGTATAAAAATATGTAAAGATAACAATTATTACATGAATTACGAATTTCTAGCCATTTTTGAGAATATCTGAAGAAAATAAGTTGGAAAGTAGTATATTTACACAAAAAAAGTCGTTCAACATTTTTCACTAGGATAAACTATTCAAGATAAGTAATGCTTATTTTCGAATTGTAGATACACATTATGTTTTCTATTTATATTAAATTTTTATTAAATTTAAATTAAAAAATAATGAAATAAAACTCTTACAAGTCACTGTTAATTTGGTTTTTTCCATCATAGAAACATTTCTATGAAAATCTTTGTGCTTTATTGATGAATAACGAAAAATAAAAATCAATGATAGGCAACTTTTGAATAATGAAACAATATTTTTACTTTTCTTAACCGTTTTCAGTTGAGAAAGTTACTAAATCTTTAACTGTGAAGAAAATTGAAAAGTCTAGAGAAAGTATGTAATTAATTAATGTAATAATTAAATAATAAAAATGATAAAGATTAAAAAAAGTATAGTACTCCTATTAAAATGGTGAGAAATGTCCATTTCCATTGAGATGAATTACTCTATTGGCCTTCGGCTCTTACCGTAAAATTCATTTTCGTGGAAATAGCCAACTTTCTCACTCGTTGAATAATTTACTATTATTGAGAAATTGATATTTTTTCAACTGAAAAGGCATTATAAATTATTTATATATGAAAAATATAAATATCTGCATGTATTTTGAATTTTAAATATGTACACTTGAGTGCAAAAAAAACGCAAATTGTCAAAAACAAAATTGTAATTTTTCATAGTGTGAAAAAGGTTGCTCCCAAAAAGGTTAGAAAACTATCAAAAGAAATGTCTTATATGGTGGTCTTGCCATGCAGTGTCATCATAGTCAGTGTTAAAAACGAAATGGAAAAACTTGATAGAAGTTTGGAAGACGCCTGACAATTATGAAATTGTGAATTGTGACAAAGACAACGTCAAAAACCTGGCAATTTACATGATAAAACAAATCAATTTGCGTCTTTTTTGCACTCAAATGTATGTAAAATGATTTCTAAATTTTCCAACAACCAAGAAAATTTTTAAGAACGGGTAGAAATATCCTCTGTATAGCTTTACTGTACCAAGAAAAAAGGACGGGAAAATGTATTTTCTTGGAGTTTTCTGGAATACAAGAAAACTAACCAAGAAATTTAATTATTTCAATTGTTGGATCAAGAAAAGAATAAAATATTCGATAAAAGTTGGATAATTATACAAAATTGCTTGAATTTGGTTTTTTATTATTTTTTTTTCATTTGTTGCATAGAGTAGATTTTAAACTGAGCTCCTGAAAATTTAGTAAGAGTTTTGTTGTTTTCTTATCATTGCTAGTATATTTTTTAATAAAGCGTACCGCTTAAAAGCTTCAGAAAACGATCGAAGCGAGTAGATCATTTGATACTATACTAGCATCATCATTATAACTCAGAAACTTTTAAAAATGAATAAAAAAAACGTGGGGTACTAATTTATTAACATTCTATTTAAAGCCAAAAATACGTTAACATTATTTGGAAGCTTTCCCATAAAAACGGTGTTATAGCTAATGTAGCTTGAAATTAGAAACGCTTAAAGTGTGTATTTATGAATAATCTAACTACCTATTTCCTCAAAATTTGTAAATTTTAAAAATTCATAAAAATTTGTTGAAAAAATTTGCAATTTTGGGAGCCAGTACTTAAAGTAGAAAAAAACATTAACAAGTTTTGTAGTACAAGAAAACTAGTATTTTACAATTACAATTTTCCACTTATCCGCTATTTTCTTTTTGATTTCGAGGGTAAAGTGAAAAAAAGTAATAGTGTTGATGGGTAAATCCTTTTAGTACCTTTTGCGAGGTAAAGTCGTTGGTGGAATGTTATCACTCATGTTCACTCACAATCACTTTGATTTCGCTGGGAGCTACATGATCGGACGCGTTTTCGGCGTCTGGACGCTCGAGACTGACCCGCGACGCTAGACGTCGCTCCTCGCCGGGGATATACTTAGCATTGGCACACGGTACTATCTTTATGCATCTGAAGTGTGCTCAACATCCGTTGATGTTTGTTTACGTCATTGGGGTCGATGCGGTGCTTGTTTTTTGATGACAAATCAAATAATCCAAGGGTTGAATCGGAGTTTGTAAATATTTGCTCGGATTTGATTGAGACGTTTCTTTCGTTGAAAGTCGGTGCTATTTTGGTAATGGCATTGAGACACGAGTTTTATGTTTAGGAAAAATGGTGCGTTTTGTTTTATTACATCCTTTCCAGTTGCTTAAAAACTCGAGTCAATTAAATTTTATCGCGATTGGAAAAATACTCAATTGGAAGAAACGAACCATTTTGTGACTCTTTTGAACTTGAGAAATATTCAAAAAATCTCATTTTTCGATAATAAAACTTTGATGAATCATACCGACTATAGTACGTGTCGTGTCTAAAGCTCCAGCCATCTGTTTTACATTTAGCATCGGTTGTTTATTTGCTTTGCATAGTTTAAAATTTGTCGGTGTAAAATATGGAATTTGTATTTTATTATTGATAGATGACGTAGATCCGAGAATAAAATTTATAGGGAAAAGAGGTCTTTTTCGCGGTTTAGGTTTGCTGTCATCACGTGTCTTTTCATACATACTAAATCTGAAAACATACACACATGCCTTGCTGTAAAATATCACTTTGGTTTGTGAAGAATATGATTTATTGAAACCGTAAAATTGCGAGTTTATTGAGATAAATGGACTGGTATCTTTTTGTAAAGAAATAAAAAAAATATTTTTTTTTGTTCCAAATAATCAAACACTTTTGGAGGTCACCAGAAGTCAGGTCAGGTCAAAAGATGGGAAAATTTAAGAAAAATTATGACATAACTCGTAATAAACAACGTGAACGCCGACTTTTCATATTTTCAATGGGTGCATAAACAAAAAATTGGTGTAACTTGCAGGACTTGAGAACAATTACGCAAAAAAAAACGATTTCTTCTTCCTTATGTTTGCTGAATTTATTGTTTTTAATATTTAGAAAATTTAATAACAATATACTTTTTTGTATAGTACAAAAGAAAAAATCAATAAATAACATGCAATAAAAAATGTAAAGAAAATAGTACATGTTCAAAGTTGCAAAATGTTTCAAGTTGTTGAATTTTGAAAAATAATATACATAAAATAAAAAAAAATTGGATATAATTAAAAATATTACTTTTTTTGAAAATTTGCATGAATGTTCGTAACCCTAGTGCTGAATACAGTTTTGGGGGATATCAACATTTCATTAACGCAATTAATTTGAGATAAGTAAAATTAGGGTATGTAAAAGCTAAATAAATGGTCTCAAAAATGGGTCATTATTGGTTTTTGATTTTTTACATTTTGAAAAATATCATTTTTTTTTATTTTTTTGAATATATCTTTTCAAATTTAACACACAAATCTGTAGAAAAAGGTGAAAAAATTGCTTTTTTCATTTTGATGAAGATTACTCAATGTTCAGAAATAATTATTTTTTTAAATTCTTTTGTAAAACTTTAATCAATCGTTGTAAGTTATTTTATTTTAAATAATCATAGGAACATCTTGCAGAAAAAAAAATGGAAAAACAAAATGGGATAACGCAAACGATAAATTTGATCCATTTTCTTGAAGGGAAAAATAGAAAAATATCTTTGAGATTAAAAGTGGTTTTAAAGAATGCGATGTTACTAAAAAAAGTATAGAATTCCAAATATTATTAAGAATTATTACTATTATTTTTTTACCTTAAGCAAAGGTAATTTCAACGGTGCATCTGCCCCGATGCACCCATATAGTCGGCGCCCATGATATGCAATGTGTCTTTGATATACTTTATATTTCAGTATTGGTATTATTAAATTAAATACTTAGCAACATCTACTTTGATTTTTATTAAAAAAAGGTCAAATATTACTTAAAAACTTAACGGAATAAAGGAAGTAAAAGTCTGCCTCACATTTTTACTATTATTTACAAAATATAAAAAATACATATTTTTTAATAGATAGCAGTAGGTTGAGAAGAAAGAAATGTCATCACTCCACCAACGGCCTTTTCCTCATGTCGGGAATGAAACACGCCAACACCGACGTCCCTGAAACAAATCCGAGTCTTATTTTGACTTTTTAATTGTGTTTTCATGTAAGAGGATATAATTCTGGGTTAAAGAGGACGCGAATGAAATTCTTCAAGTTATTCTTGAAACCTCATAGTACCACCCATCTCTTAGCATTGCAGCAGCACGTGCAACGCTCCATTAAAAATAGAATTTTCTTTGAAACTCCCAACGATTCGATCGGAATTTTCTCAATACAAGAACTCACCAAGTATGAAAGCTGCGAAAAGTAAGTGAAAGTTGTGGCGTGACATGTCCAGGAAGGTGTACAAGAAACAGGATGTCACATGGGCGTAAAAATAGGTTACACCTAAAGCGGTACCCCTAAAAGAATTTTTGTAAAAAAAAAAATAATTATCAAAAATTTTAACCTGACAGCCGTTGGAAAATTTTCGACAACGACCACAAAAAGAGTCGATTCGACTAAAGTCAGTCCAATGGTGAAAAAAGACGAACATATTGCCAACATTGGGACGTTGTCGATGTACCCCAATACAGCACTCGTAAAAGAGCACAGAGTCAGTCCTGCAACTAAAAAAATTGTGCGATTTTAGGTCAGGTCAGGTCAGATAATTAAAAGATCGAATCTCGTTTTTTATGGACTTGCAAACATCTGGCCTCCGGCCAGAAAAATAATATTTTTGTTTATTTTTCTCCGTGTTGCTATGCTTGATTAACAGACATCGGTCGTGGGTTGAATCACATTTCTATTATCATTTCTCGCACTTGAAATTCAGATAAAATCGATTATGACCTATCAAAAGGCCGTTTAAATAAAAAGACTTGGTTTTATAGGTTTTTAGACTTTCTAGATGTTGCGCATCTGGTAATCACCAGTTTACAAACTACAAATTTAATTTTGCTTCAAGTTTTCGTTTTAATAGGGCGAGAGATTCTAAAATTAGTTTAAAACTTTCTTTTACTAAATTAAAAATAAAAGGTTACTACGCCGATAGTTCACGTTCGAATTTCCAGAATCGTTTATTTTACGAGCTAAATATAAAAGCTCGAAAACATACAAGAATTATACAGTGTTGTGTACTTACAAATCGGAAATTTACGTCCGAATCGATCGATTATGCACAGCAACATTATTTGCCCGAAGAGCATATTTATAGAAATTAGGAGGAAGTTTTCATATTCTCGTTCTACCAAGGACACGGAACAATTGCCGTGGAAAATAAGATTGAGATGAATAAAATTTCCACCTGTAACTGTTTCCATTTTTCTGTCTACAATCTGTGCCAGATAAATAATTGTGCCGGGTAATCTAAAAAAACAAAAAAACAAAGTTTAAACTTGAATAATTAGGATTAGATGTTGTTGTACCCAAATAAAGTTGGCAGTTTGGTTATAGTTATGACTAGGGCTACTTTGATGAAAGGTCTTCTCAACATTATTCTCAACATTCGAAGCATTACTTTAACCATAACGTTCATTTGTTGGATCATGCCTACGGGCTCTGGGTCAATGTTTATGTTGTAGTCTGATATCAAGTCCACCAGTTGTTGCGACTGGACCTTAACATAAAAATTTCGAAAAATTACTCTTAAAATCGACTAATAATGAACTGTCTAGCATTTTCCAAAAATTGTCAAAATAATCTCTAACACATTCAAAAATTAGTAAAACACTTTCTGATAATATTTATTTCAATAACTGACTTCGAGACAATATTTTTAATGTTTGTACCATTGTACTAAATTGTGATACATTTTGATGAACTTAAAAAAGTAAAGAGTTAAATTTGTTCACTTCTGAAATGGATCCAAGTCAGGCTACATACGTTGTCGATAACTCTACTATTATAATAAATGTGTAAAAATTGACTTTGATGTTGACATTGACACTAATTTTGTTTTTCAACAAATTAAAACCTGAATTTTTACATTACACATTTACACAAGTTTCACGTCTGGTTACAACTAAGTAATTACCATTAAAAATAATTACTTGCTGTCTTAACAAAAGTCAGATTATTTTCAAAATATGTCTAAAATTTGATAAAATGTTCGAAAAATAAACATGTCTTTGATTTTTTAATAGGAAATGATCAGCAACTACAATAATATTGTGACATTTTTTTTTGAAAATTATGATAACATCTTGGTTAAATACTGTTTCAAATCTTCTATGTTAGTAGATACAAAAAATCTGCTAGAGATTCTCCCCCCTGTCCATAAGAAATTGTCAAATAAGTAGATATTTGACATTTTCAAAATTTTGTTTAATTTGAGTCAAAATTGTTAATAATGAATTTCAACATCAGTACCTATATTAAAATTTAGAAAATTTTATTTTGAGCATTGCTAAGCTCAAATTGTTATGTTTTGACATTTCGATAAATTATATTCAATTTTTAATTATCAAAATTGTCAGTTTTTTATAAATCATTGTAAAATCGTTATATGTATTCTTAAATAAAAGATTATTGATAGCGCATTTCTAATTGTGCAAAACGTTGTTCCTGTAATAGTCAAACTGTAAATTTTCTTACATCAAAAGTTTCGCTATATTTCGACTTATTGATGGCATAAAACTGTTTCAAAATCAGCGTTGCTGTGATGATCCTCCTTTTGAACAATAAAAAACGAGGACTCATTTCCAAAAGGGCCGAAGTACAACCCATTGTAATACACAATCCACCTCCGATTGCAAAAATGATCCTCCAAGAAGTTAATCTCATGTCCATACCCTGGTGCTCAGTAATATCAGAATTGAAGGCTCCAAAATAGTATAGAAAAACTGAAATTTCATTGTGGATTGTGTTAAATTACGTGACTAGTTTACCTGCTGTGGAGAAACAACCAATTGTCCAAAAAATATCCGGTAGAATGATGTAAAAACCTCTTTTCTCGACTGGTAAAATCTCAGCCAAATAAATTTTGACGGAAGCGATGTTTGCTTGGAGTCTAAAAAGAGTCAAATTTATTTAAATTATTTATAAAATAGTTTCGTTAATGATAAAATTAAATTCTTCACCCAGAACCTAAGAAAAATACTGCCAGATACAGGGTGTACATATTATGCGAAAATGCAGAAATGAAGCAACTTCCAAATATGATGATTAGACTTTTTGATATCATGCATCTTTTTCCAGTGTTATCAGAAATACTACACAGGAGGAATCCACCCACAGCTTTTCCTTGAATCAATTTATGACTTTGCAACTTTTTTGGAGAAATTTTACCAAAATTAAAGCACACATAGATTGATATAATGTCATCCTTGGTCAAAACCGTATCACATGCAGATAACGGCAGTGCAAAGTGCAAACACAAAAACACAAAGCCGTTGGTGAATAAATTTGCCGAAGCAAATCCAACTAAAAATTTATAATAAAGCCCCCATCCTGAAAACCCCGTTGAAAATCAATTCAATTTGTATTAAATCTCACCTGTCTTCTGCAAAGCGTCTTCGAAATGCAGCAAACGCGGAACCACAGGGCGAACTTGAGACATTTGAGTTAATTAAAATTTGACAGTTTATGGTGTCAAATAAGCAAAAGCAATTCGATCGTTGGCAGATTAAAAATGAGCTAATTTGTTGTTTTTGACAAAGAATCGCGGATATGCGGTAGGTTAAAGGAACAGTCGTAGAAATCAACAGGCACAGCTGCATCGCTTTATAAAACAATAGGCAAATCTTCTCGATTCTTTTATTTTGAATTCGGCACGAATTTCAGACTTCACGTGAGTTCTTTGATGCGAATACAAGCGATTTTTGTGGGACTGGGGCGCGACTCCCTAGGGGGCTAGGTCTAATAATGGATTCACTTTTGAGTCTATCTCAGGAGGGTCAACAAAAACGATTTAACTATAATATTAAAGGTTATTATCGAAATCACAACACATTAACATATAAAACAAACTTTTAATAAAGTTAAAAAAATATCCTAGGACATGTTTAACCAAAAAACAAGCGAAATTAATAATCACATTAGTCATGATAAAATAAAATTTTGTGAAAAATAATGTTACTGAAAATGATGTAGGTAAAAACTATAAAATGTAAAATGACAATAATTCGACATTTAACATTTTGTTAGAAGTTATTTGTATTACAAGGGAGGAAAATGTATTTTTTCACTTTTACTTTCCATAGTGTAATATACATTGTATATAATTCTTATAGGAGAAAATCAGCCGCCAATAGATGGTACTAAAACATCAATGTTTTCCCCATTTGAATAGTTTACAGTTGATGCGTCAGATGTCTCTTTTCCTTCCTAATTTTGGCGCGTAGCTTAGACGACGGCGCGGCGACTTTTTGGCGGAATTATGTGACAACTTAAAAGTTTTATTTAATCTGTCACCTAAGGTTTTGTAGGAGTATTTTTTTGTTTAAAATAATAATGCCAAAAGTTGAAATCTCTATTTTAGAAAGTAATGCATCAAAATAGAACCTCCCACATAGTTTTTGTAAAGAGGTATGAAGCAAAAATGCTTGTAAACACTCATATTTACATTGACTTGTCAAATTGACTAAAATGGAAAACTGATATTGTCAAAATATGTTTTCCCGATTTGGATAGTTTTTTGCCTGCCACCAGAGGTCAGCTACTTTGCTGAATGTCTCCTATAGCAAGAAAAATTTAAAAAAATAACAGTTTTTCTTGATATTTTAGTTTCGTCAAATCTAGCAGCATGTTTTCCTGTTTTGATGGAGGAGGTACAATTTTTACCTCCCTTAGAGGTTACAAATATTATTTTTAATGTAATTTTGACTGATGAGGAACGCCACTTTCTTTTTTGAAATTAGGGTGGAAAAACTTATTTTCTATTAGGGTCGTAGGAAAAATATATTGCTTCTTTTTGGGTTTTTAAGTTAGCAATTATTTTTATAAAAGTATTAAACACCTGGTTTTTGTTCAATTTATACTTACATTAAAAATGTAGAAACAGAAAAAAGTTTTGTTTTTTTATTTTCTGTTAAAAAAAACTGCAATACTAATAATAAGTNCAATACTAATAATAAGTCACAATGATTATTTGTATAATTTTTTTAAATTCAGTGAATCTATAGTTAGGTGGGTTATTTTTTTGAAAATATCTTCGAACATGAATAATTATAAAAATTCCGTGGAAGCATACCTAGTTTTTATCAAAGTGGGGCTTTTTTATATGAATAACAAAGGGTATATAAAATTTGAGGTCAAATCCACAGGTTTAATCGAAATTGAATTTACATGAAGGTGGCGAAGCATTTTCTAGCTCTTCGTCTCATCATCAATGCCAAATTTTTTTGTCACATTTGTTGTCAAATTCGAATTAAAAAAAAAATGAAACTATTGAAATATTTAAAAAACAAACTTTTATATCGAAGTAGAATAATATATTAAAGTAGAATAAAACATGATTTTAATACAAAAAGGGAATTAACAGTCGACTGTTTCTTCATGTAAATTCAATTTCGATTAAAGTTGTAACATTGACCTCGAATTTTCTAATAATAATATAATTAATAATCATATGTTAATAATAATAAAAAAATGTGAAAAATATACTTAATTTACTGAAAATGTTTTAACAAAAAAAAACCGTTGAGTTTTTTTGTATTCTAAGTTTGCAATTGCACTTTGTATTTTGGAGTAGTTTTTACAGAGGTATTAGGAATATAATTGTATAATCTTATAACACAGACACTATTGCTTTTTCAAAAAACATTAGATACTTATTTTTTAAACTTATCATAAGATCCTAAAAAAAAGTTTAATGAAAGTTTTTAGTGTAATTTTTGATTTTGACGTTTTAATTGTGAACTTTTTTGTTCTGCATTGAAAAATAACAATTTGAACGAAGTTTGATTTTTTTTAATTTCTAAATCAAGGAATTAATAACAATTTTTTCAGTTGAATATTTATTTCAGTTAAACTGCTTATGCTTTGTTTATCTTTTTTATTATTAAAAAAAATACTTTTTATAATAATCATTAACAAATGTACTAAAGAAAAAATGGATTCTAATTATAAAGGGTGTTCCATTTTTGTTCTTACAAAAAGATAAACCTACAAACATGTATCAGAAAATACTAATTCCCCCGAAAAGGGATTTTTTCAATATTTCAGAAACCGTTTTAGATAACATTATAAAATTTGGTACAGTTAACAATGTTTATAACCTAAATGAATTCAAAGATCAAATCTCGAAATTTTTAATCAGAGGCGTCCTAAAATTGGGGGGCTTACGGTAAAAAGTACCCGAACTATTGTGGCTTTTTCGAGACATATTTGTAGGAAACTTTCTTAAACTCTCGTTTACATTTGTATAGGTAAAAAATGTTTCTTTAAATTTATCGAGTGGCTTTTTAAATACCTACTTACTACTTTTCACTCAGTAAAATGTGGCACTTGAATATTTAAGATTTTTGAGTTCACATTAATAGAAAACTCAAAAAATGTAATCGAAAACAATAGTGTTTGAAAAATTATAAACTTAACTCATTAATTAAGAAACAAATTTTTATTGAAATTATGGTAAATTTTGCTAAAAGAATACGGAAAAAATCCATTCATGTTCTAAATTAAAGTTATAAGGAAAAAGTGGGATAAGATAACAACAAGAAAATTATCGAAATCTAATCTATTTAGTTTTTGTGGTAAAATCGCTTCTCTTACTCTAAAATATTGTTTAGAACAATGCTGAAGACATATTGAAAACATAATTATCATTTTACTTAAAAAAAAGTAAAGAACCACCGAGAAGAAGAAGAAATATTATATGAAAAATTTGATAAAATTATTATGCCCTAGTGATCAAAATTTCAATTTTGTACCGAATTTATTCAAGCTCATAGTTTTTTTACAAAATAAGACCAGATTTATAAAAATTCAATTGATCGGTCTAGACGACTCGAAATAAATTTTTATGAAAGTAATTATTGAAAACCTAGTTTGTTTCAAACGAGTCGAGAAAGATTTATAAGGGGTTAATCAAACAGTGGGTCCAGTGGGTGTGTTTGGGACATCGATCAATCATACATTAACTCTTTACAAACTCATAAATAATTCATAGACACATTACTCAAAATAGATAACTCAATTAAAACCCCGAAAAACGTTGCAAAATCCTTAAGTACTTCTCCACGTAACCTATAATTAAGCATGATTGAGGAGAGGGTTGGAACCCTCGAAAGTGTTTTTCCCCCTCCTGACCAATGTGTTAAGTCATTTCGGTGCCGATAAATAAATGACAGGACGTATCATTATCAAAAATGTTAAAATATTAATAAGCGAACGTTCAACAGGTTGATATTATCGTATCATTGTTGCAAATCGAGTCAAGTGCAATATTCTGATAGGTCGTGGCTTTAATTACAGTGATCGGAGTACCGCCATTTAAAGCCTTTTAAGTAATTGATAGCTTTCAGATTGGACAATTCAGGGGTCCAAGTTGGGCGGGACGACGGCATCGAACTTGATCCGAAAATTGCGCGAGCCAATTTTTTTTTCACCGAAATAGGGGGAAAAGCGAATCAGCGAACTTTACCTAAGTTAATTGCAGGGTGTGCGGAATAAGGGAAATTAATTAAGATTTTTTTATACACGGAATTTTCATATTTTTGATGGCGGTAGAACTCAGAATGAATAATTGGAGAGGCAAGCCCTTGGAAAGGAATTTATATTATAAGGTTCATAGATCAAAATTTTGAAATGTTTAGGAAGTAGTTAAAATGGAATAATTCTTGGCCTGGTTGTAATAACTAGTATTAAATGATCATTTTTTTAAATTTCGTTGATACACTTGAAACACGTCTGGTCAAAATTCTTTCTTTAATCTATTTGTAGCAATCACTGAAAAATTTTAGAATTTTCAAGTAGCTATTATTACATATTTTGCTTAACTCGACTTTAGCGCGAAAGCCCTCAAGATAGACTTCTACAATTCGTGTCATTTCAAGTTTTGACAGGAGATGCCTTTGAGAGAAGTTATTAAATGGGAACAGGGCTCTCGAAATATTCTCAAGAAAAATAATTAGCGGAATTAAAACAATAAAAGTTGAAAATTGTGTGTGTCTATAACCAGAGGTAGGTATGCAATTACCTGAATTTATTTTTATATGAATTATTCTAAAGTTGATATGAGGTCAGTTTTGGAATTATTTTCACTGAGAAAGCCTCAAGACATGAGTTTTTAGAATTGTGTGATTTCGAGTTTTGTTAGTTTTTCCAAAAATAAAAGATATTTTGTGACACGTAGTTTCTTTCTACATTTTACATTGCTGGGATGTTGAAATTAATTTCAGTAAAGACGAAACTTTACAAATATTTCAAGTCAAATGAAAAACATAAATATTTTTGAAATGGCTATACCTAATATAATAAGTGCCTTACCAATTAACACAAATACTGCTTATTAATCACTTAAATTTCATTAGAGTTAAAATAATTTCAAAACCATCTTTGTTTTAATAGCTATTTTGTATTTGTATCTAATTTGTATTTATGTACTTTTTCTTTTTTATTGACAAACGTTAAGTTACTG